TTTTTGTAACTAATAATTCTTACCAATAAATTTATTTCTGGCAGAAATGAAAATTTGAAAAAAAATTTGGCAAAGTGATGCTTATTTCTAGGAAATTTTTGAATAATCGTATATTATTGAAAATGAAAATCGGAAAAGGTAGCGAAATGATTCATCATTAGTCCGATTAATTTGTGTACAAAATATGCATTTGCAAGTCCTTTTGAATGTTATTGCAAATTATCTGTTTGTTGAGGGCACGCAAATCAATGCAGTGTGCGATCCATTTTGAAATTAATGAATTAATTTTTAACTCTTTTCGATTAAGCAGTACGACTAAGGAAGACAGTGATGACAGTTTGACAATAAGGGTAGTAATAATAGTGAATTTTGGAAAGGCGGGTATAAACTATTACTTTTGCATGCAATATAATTTAATTCTTTGCTGCAGAAATTTGGATTTGAAATTAAAAATAATAATAATATACATAGAAAACATTCATGACTGGTTGCTTGTTTGTGCTGTCTTAAATTACCAGTCATTTATTTACTGTCTTACATATTTGGGAGTCCTTTTGAAAAATGAATCACAGATAGGAGAGGGATGATTGATTAGAGTTATGTTAAACTTGACTGAAGCATGCCAAAGGGAAGAACACAAAACAGTCTGGGAAGTAATTGTAGAAGTGCTTGTTTTGGTACTTTGCCTTCATAACGTTTTCCGTGATGACATCATCTCATATTACGTATGTTAGCATCAAGTTTTTCACTCACTATTATTTGTTTATTAATTTTAGTCCACATTTGCTGCTTTATTTAATGAATAATATTCGTATTAGTGTTATAATTATTTACTACTAGTATGGCGAATATTGTTTGCAGTGAGTAGTGATCGTCAGACGGCGGTCTGACTGCGTGTGTGTGTGCGCGTGCGTATGTATGTGTGTTTATGTGTAAGCGTGCACTCATTTTATTAAATTTGTGCAAATGTTTGAATGTAGAAATAAATGTTTGCTAAGAAGAACAAATACATACGCTGCTGTGAAATTAAACATATAAACTTTACTTGCAAGTAACTGACCAAGTAAATAAATAATTTTTTTAACTGATAGTTTTCAAAGTCAATAATACGTGGACATTTTGCAAGTAAATTTTTTTGATGTGCGAATTTTAGTAATTTGTATGTTGAGGGCGTTGATGAAGGATAAAAATCTGTTCTTAGTAAATGAGCAGAGAATGTTTGTGATGTTTCACGTGCTTAGCGTATATGAGAGTGGGAGAAGATTGCTAATTTGTGTGTGTTGGCTGCATGCTAAACTTTGGGTGCTGTGTGCTGTGTGCTTATCATAGAAATGTATTAATGTATTAATAATAGTAGTATAATAGCAATCATAATATTAATTCCACGGAACAATTTCTCATTGCTTCTTTGAGAACTTTTTTTGCATTCTTTGCTGATTCTATTTATTGCCATTTGTGATGGTTGTTAGAAAGGCTAGCAGCAAGAAGAGATGGTTACATTCTGTGAAAGATGCAAGAAAGATTAATTAATTACTTTTGACATCTTGTGCATCCTCTCTATAAGAAATAATGTGTTCCATCCCTCAATCAATCAATACATTATGAGGATCAATGAGTTGCAGCAGGGATGAAGAGGTTGTATTGCGATTGATCTTGTCCCAAATATCAGCACCTCTATGGTCTTACTTTATACAATATTTATTTATTGCAAATGTTTAAATGACGAATTGCTATTAGCTAAAGTCAATTATTTGCTTACATATTTGAAGTATCAGAAGGATGGAATTGTAATATTCAAGTGTAAATATTATTAAGTAGAATGGAACAATAGAGATAATATCATTTGTTCGCCGTATTGGCATCACACAGCTCAGCACTCACCATTTTTACACTATCTTATGCTTAATAATGACTCCTCATTGGATTGAAGAAGTTTTAGATGCAACTTTGCAATTTATACAAGATGATTCCCGGGAAAGGTCCATAAACTTCAGAATTGGGTACACATAGTTTGAGTACCATTACACATATATAAGTACATTTGTTTCTTGACAAAGTTCCGGTAATTAAAAAGGAAAATATTTCCGCTTGCTTTAGTCTATTTTTTTTCTGGCTGAAATTTGTCCGATTTTGTGTTTCACTCTTCTTTGCTTGCAACCAACCCACTCTCATCGCTCTGATATCTTGTTTCTCGTAAGTAATTAATTACTGTAACTTATGAGGGAACATTTTTGTTGAATACTGGAAGTAGTGAAATAAGTCTCAAAAAGCATAGAGTAAGGACAGTAAGAAGACTTAGAGAGGCTATGAAGAATAATGAAAGGTAACAGCTTTGAGTGAAAAAAAAAGAGCATTCACAAGCAACGGAAGTCAGATGAACTTTTGTAGTGAAAGGGAGATGAGATTGATATCAATCCCAAGTAACAGAGCAGTAGTGATTTTGAGAATGGAAATTGACTTGAATACAGATCTCAGGTACAACAGGTATGATAATTTTCTTGACCACGGAATTTGTATAAAAAATTACAAAAAGTTTTTTGTCTAAATTTATAAAAAAAATGTATTCGTAAAATTGACTCGAAATTACTGCAAGAAAGATGGCTTTTTTTTCAGACAAGTTTAAAGTATGATTGCATATTTTACGTTTGAAAAATTTGTAAAGCATTAATGGACTTATTAGTGCACGCACAGGGGTGTACAAGTGCAGGTTAAAATGAATAACGAGCGAGTACACGTCAAGGTATTAAGAATGTTATTATGAGCAAAAGAGCGCAGTCTTGCATTAAAGAAAGATTCTTACTATTATGTAAATTTCCATAATTCCTTTACCAAAGATAAGTGATAGAAAGGAGAGGAGTGGTAGGAAAATGAAAGGAAAGATTAGGTTGTGCAAAAAATTGTTTCTGTAAGCTGTTAAAATTCATTTCTATTTTTCTTCGCCTTTGCAAATAAAACGATAAAAGCTTTATGCTTACATTCTCTATTTTCTGCTCATTTCTTGTCGGTTTATGCAAATTTTGATTATTATTTGGTCCACTTTGGTTGATATTTGAGATTGCTAAAAGGTAGGCCAAAGTGAGTAGCATTTTTTCATCCATCAATTACTTCAAAGATATAAGCTTGAATAATGTTAATGTTCATGAAAGTGAAAACGTGATTTACTAGTAACTTTAGTCTGTCTTATTTATTTAATCAAGTTAAAGGTCTTAAATGATCAAGCAAAGGTCATAAATTGATTTTTTTGTCTATGAACTTATCAAGTGTACTTAATTTTGCGTACTACTAGTAGTAATCACAAGTTACTGCTAAAAATTTATGGAAATTTAAGTTATTGAAAAATTTTCAAATTTCAAGTATTTAACTTTGTGCGCAACGTTTACCCTCAATATAATTATATAAATGCAATATGCCTTGTTTTATGGGAGAAATACAAGTGATTCATCCCAAAAGTGATCATAAAAATTTGATAATACTTTAGTTTAAATTCAATATTTAAAGCGAGATGTATAAAAAGTGTAAAGATGAATTGTGCTAGAATTGTCAGGAGAAATCATGATTACTCGTCATTACATTTATTACCACTGCAATTATTGCTATTGTAATATTATTTTTACTATCAAGATATGACGTTTAGACAAGAACAGGTCTGACAATTTTTAAAGTGAATTCATTAATCTAATCATTTTTTTTTCTGAAGCACTTGCTCTAACGTAATTGTACTTGATGTCAAATAGTGAACAACACACAATAATTACAGGCACAATTAGCAAATTTGGAAGTGTAATCGTATAATCTGTTCGGAAACATTCTTAATAAATTTTCACAAATGTTTTGCTTGTATCTTCAAAATCTATGCTTTTGCGTGTAATTTCCTTGAATAACACATTCTCTTAATAAGTAAAATCAAATTTATTTTCAGGAAAATTCATTTTTGTGGTGAAAACTGGAAAGTAAGGAAAGACTGCGAAATTTCTGTTAGTGTTGTTATTCACAAGTAAGTATACCTCAGTTGTTTTATTCCAAAACTAATTGACAACGGTTATGTTCAGTTGTTTATTGCCTTAGCGTGCAATTCACTAATGAGTTAATGAATTAATCTAAGGTTAATTTAAGGGAGAACTATTCTATAAATTTTTTACCTTATTTCAGTTGGCTAATTTTGCTATTCTGATTAACATTCCTATAGTTAAAATATAGAGTGTAGGCATCAGAGGAAACATGTGCATCATTATCATAATAGTAATTCGTGCTAAATTTGTTTTGTCAAAAATTGTAGACATATTTTTAAATAGGCCTATGAGTTCTTTTAATCCGATTCAAACTACATCAGTCTTTTTATCATTTGCAAATATGCGGTGGAATTTTTGTTGATGTATAAGAGCTATTCCCTCATTTTTTTCATATTACCAAAAATATCATACACCTTTGTGTATGATGAATCTTTAGGGCTTGACGTATTGCTAGAGCAAAGTTATTAGTTAATTATGCGCCGCACAAAAAAATTATAGGCTTATAAAAACATATACGAAAGAAATTATTGTCTTCGTTTGACTTTTCTATATTAATCTTTTCTGTTCATCGTGCTAAAATTGTACTGTTCTACAACATTTCTTTTGATTTTGGTAAAATCTCAGCATTTGCTCGTAGGTTTAAAGTTCACCACTGCTGCTTTTCCATTTATATTTATCCTCTGTAAAAAATAATTTCAGATGCTTTAACATGTCATTATCACTTAGTTCATGGCAAATTGTATAGAATCACGAACGGAAAAAAGGAAAGCCTGAAGTAATTTTAACATTTTTTATACTTCAGTTATTATTTCAAATATATAATTTTTAGAAATTGCATCTCATGAGTTTCGAGTAATTTTTAAACTCTGCTTTTTGAGCCCGTGATAAACCGATCAACTATCCATCTCTTTAATGTGTTATTTGTTATGATATGTAATAGTAGCTGGAATAATTATAGTCATGGATAGACTTTATCATAATTTTCAAGAAATGGCATTTGCGTCTGGTGGAGGTGGTGGTGGTATTGGTGCAGGAATGGGCGGCATAGCTGGTAACTTGGCGCAACCATCAGCGGCACAATGCGGCATACCGTCGTTACGTCCTCAGGTTCCTCTTCATTTCGTGCTTTTTTTCTATTTCCCATGAGCTTGTAGAAGAAAAATACTTCTTCACAAATGTTTTGAAAAGCAAAAAGGAATTTTTAACATATGGAAATGAAAAAAAAGCAACATTTAATTTGTAAAACGGAAAGTTTCCTAATAATAGATTTACTTTTAGGATGCGCAAGCTTTGTCATCACGTGGAGTGGCAAATCTAAATGCGGTAGCTTTAGCAGCTGCGCAAGTTTCTGCTACTCCAATTCCAGCGGCTCATCTACTCTACCAGCAGTTTCTTTCAGCTGGAGCTGCTGCAGCACAGTCGCAGTTAATGCAAAGTGCTGCTGCAGTATCGCAAGCAGCCGCACTTTCACCTCCTACACCTTTATTGCCTCAAGCCGCGGCAGCAGCAGCAGCAGCGGCAAATGCTGTGGCAGCAGTTGCAGCTCAGCAACAATCAAGTATTCCATCTCAACAGCAGCAAGCTGCAGCTGCTGCTCAACCACAACAGCAACAACAGCAAAATCAGGCATTTGTACTAGCAAATGCAGCGCAAGCAATTGCGATCAACCAGTTACTACTCCAGCATAATCCATTGCAGCAACAAGTATGTCATAATTCTGTGATGTAAAATTTCGCTTTACGTACACGTTTGACTTTCATACATTCTTTGTTTATGTTGCATTTTCATGTATTGCTTATTCGTAGGGAAAATGTTTACTTGTATATGTTGACGAGTTTTTAATATTGCTATCAAAGGAAGCATACATTATCTCACAGGAGAAACTGTTGTTGTTGAATTGGTTAGATTTATTTCAATTCTGATCTCAACAAAATAGAATTTGTGATAATCTGTTCATCTCATTGTTCCTTTATCATTAAGTACTCAGGTTCAAGCAGCGTTGGCGCAATTGCTCAATCCTTTCGCTTACTATCAGCCGCATCTGGCAGCACTATTACAGTCGCAACTCAATGCTACTAATCATGTACAACAACCACAGCAACCTCTGCAGCTTCAAGGTAGCATCTATAGTTTTTGTGTTTTTAATTTATTTTCATACTATTTAACAAAGAGTAAATTGATAATTTCAATTAAATCTAATATTTGTTCAACCATTTCCGTCCTTTTAAGCATGTAAAATTAGCATGTCACTGCCTTTTTAATCTCCTAGAGATATACAAACTTTTAAATGTAATTCGCCAACATTTTATGATCACTATCTAAAGCATTTAAAAATAATGAGGCATGAGTATTGTCAAATTTTATTGCTGCTAAATCATCAGTCAGTAATATTTACCGCAAAAAAGACTGTATTATAAAAAAAGAACAAATTATTCGGATGCTTATCATAAATGCTAAAAGTTAATTGTGATACCTTTTGACACTAGGATTTTTTTAATATCAAGGATTTTTTCCATCTCAAATCTCATATTATTTGTGGGATTTATTATGTTTTCGATAAAATGTTGGCGACAGTATCAAAGTTATTTGATCACAATATAGTTGTGTTTTCGAAATGACAAGTATTGAAGTATTTCCAGTGCCTAAATAGTATTTATTACTGGTTTTAGTACCAAGTGCTATTGGAACACCAGTCGCTGCTCAACAACAACATCAGCAAAAATTAATTGATAATTTGTTGGCAGAACAAGCGGTTCGAAATTCAGTTCATGATAAAATAGGTTTGTTTATTTTAAGAGAGGAAAGGAAAAAAAATCATTATTAAAACAAATCTGTAATGCCTGATCTTTACAAAAATTGAAAATTTACAAAAATTGGGAATTTCTTTAAGGTGCATCACAACCTTTAGCAACAGACAATAGAAATGTTGGCTTGCTAACAAATCCGGAATCAGTAAAGGAGCACATATCACGATTAATTAGTGAAAATGAAGCGATTTTGGAACAAAGTCCGGGTCTTATAAAGCGGCGTCCATATCATCGGCAAGTGGGGTCGCAGTCTTCTATTGAACTTGAAACGGGTATCAGAAGTCAAAGTAATTCACCAGGTATTTTTGAAGCTTTTTGCGTTCAACAAAAAATGATTAGTCAATACTTGTCTAATCTCTACTTTAAATATGTTTACTTTCCTTTCTATAATTTGAAAGACATTATTAAGAGATTTTAGAAAGGTTTTTGTATTTCTATTTTAAAAGCTGTTTTGTGATATAATTTATCTATGCATTTATCGAATTGTTATTTAGGACTGCGTGAGATACGATTGCAGTGCACACGCAGTCAATCATTTTATGAATCGCATAAACCGCTTGCTATACGGGTTACTGGAGGCTCTTTAACCAATGGCTATCCGATTGTGAAAATACCTGATAAATGTTGTACGTGCAATTATTGTGAATTGAAATTTCCAAATGAAGCGGCTCTTGATGCTCATGAAATCAGATGCAGCAAGTTAGCTTTTTAACTTCCGTGTTTGAAGCTATGAATGCATAGAAACAATTCAGCTAGTTTTTCTTTTTTTCATCAATGATTAATTTTTATTTTTTATCGAATTTTAGTATATCATTATAATATTAGTACTGCTGACAAGAAAGTTTCTGTTTTACATAATTATTAATACATTACGTTTCTTTTCTGCGTTCTTCCACTTCCCATTCAAATATTTCCATTTTATATTGTTTCCTTTGGTTATGCAAAATAAAAAAGCTAACCTTAACGCCGTTGATTGTACATATTTGTTACGATTGATGAAAGCTAAAAAGCTTTTGTAGTAGCATTCTATGCTCACTTTCTAATGTTATTGAAAAAAACTGTTATTTCTGACATTTATTTGTAAGAAATTTTCAGTATTCTGTTTCATTATTTCGAAAACCGTGCCCATATATATATTTATACTGTGGCTTTAAAAGCTATAGATCTCACTTGCTAGTGAAAGAGCAGAATAAAAATTTAACTGTGAAATTGGCGAGTTGTTAAAATAGCATATTTTGATTATGATAATTCGTCATATTGTAACATTTTTTAGGCGTGCCGAAATTAATTCGCAAGTAATGTCATCATCATCATCATCAGTAATGGGAGCAGCAATACTAGGAGGAGGACCCTTAGGACATTTGCATATGATGCAACAGCAAAATACTGTTAATGTTGGAACAGTTGAAAATGTTGGACGTAAACCGAGCATCTGTAGTAACAATGGTATAACATCTTCCTCTGCGAATCATGAAAATCGTCATCCGCTCAAACGTCGTCTTTTAGCAGCTGTAGAACATCTCGACGATCCTCAAGCATCTACAAGCAAAGCTCCAAAATTAGTATGTACACAATTGAAAATATTGAATCACACCTTCGACAAATCGATGGTATTTCATATATATAATTTTGTATTTTATGTGACATGTTTAAGACTTTGGTGTAATGTTATTTTTGTGGGTGATAAATGTATAGATTCTTGATGATGTTTAAGATTTGGTTTTTAGGAAACATCAAAAGCCATTCTCAATACTGCAAATTCAGTTGCTCCATCATCATATATTGGACACTGTAAAACGCCCATAGTTTCGCTGCGAAATCATAGTATTATCATTTCTAGTGCTTCAGCTTCTGCTTCATCTGCTATTGTACCAATAACTTGTCATATTTCTAGTCAGCTTGTTATTCCGAAGACGCCGCAGGCATATCAGCGTATTTATTTAGCAGCAACTACTCCTCAGGTAATTTTTTTAATCTGTACATTTAATTTAAAAATATCTATCTCTGATAAATAAATACTTTAGTTATTTTATGTTCAAACACAATTTTTAAAAATAGCAATGTTCAATCCTGTATTAGTTTGACAGGTTGTTGGCAACATTTGCCTCTGTGATCGTATTGTGTTTGAATTTGGCATGGACTTTTTATTCATAGCCTCTTTTATTTCAGAATATTAGTTCTGTAGCTAACAAGCCGTATATTTTAACTTTGAATGAAGTGTCGTCATCTCGAAGTGATGCTACATCTCGAAGAAGTCGTATGCGAAATATTACTACAGAAACATTTGCCACTTTAAACAAGCCACAGCCTATGTTCTGTGAACATATACCCAAGTTGAGCATGTACAGCAATTGGCAACAGGTTTGTTATCCTTCTATAATATTAATTCATACTATATCCTGTGCAGTTTTCGGTGCACAAACTTCATCCATTTGCTTGCATTACATCTTTGCTGAAATTCTGAAATTTGCCTGGTATTGACAGACACTTCATGCTAATTAGAAATCAGTGAAATGCAAGTTGAAAGAATAATCGGAATAAACATAATGTTTTTAAAATTCCAATTTATAAAAAAGAAATCTAATTTTACCTAAAGAAAAAGCTATTACTATCCTTTTTTTTGTTTGCATCTTGTATGGGACTAATTTGCAGAGTACCGTAGATTCTGAAGAAGCAAAGTTGAACCTACTTTATATAAGTACTTGTTCTACGAAACCTCGTATGGGTGTGAAGCAGTTATGGAGGTATACTACGGCTTTGCGTGAAATGAGTGTGCTGAAAGTGACACATTCTTCGTTTTGGGACTACTCAACTAAAGTATGAAGTTGAAAACTATAAGATTATTGTTTTTGTTGAGAAGCAATCATGACAATTCTATAAAAAGCAGCATATATTTGGATGATTCAAAACATTGTTTTTTTTCTTTGTTTGCGGACTTTGTATTTGCATTTTCTGCTCTTCACACTTACTGTTAGGGACATTGGACGGGCTGTCATGTCATTTGTAAAGATCGTCTTTTTACATATGTATATTACTTTCGTACCTTCAGTTCAGTATTTGAAAGTAGGAATTTTTCATTTTTGGTGTTTTAGCACGAGCAAAGATAAAAACATCTGTTGCAGATACGTTTACGTCAAAATGCAGCAGTTGTTGTTACAACGGGAGCTCCAATAAATTCGCAAGCCGTAATTGCTGCTTTCGTGCAAGATCGCCCCTCAACAGCAACATCAACGTCAAGTGTTTCGATGAATGTCGTTAGCAGCTCTGCTATACCGTTAAAAAACATTCAGAAATCAAAAGTTGGAAACGATATGAACGTTAGTAAAAGGAGAAATCTGGTGGAAATAGAAAAGGATCAGAATGTTTTACCCACTACGGAGTACTTTTTTTCCTTCTATCACACAAATTTTTTCGAAAAGTACTTCTCATTATATTGCAACGCAACTTGTGCAAATATCCAAATACAGTGTATAAAATATTTCTTGTTAAATTAAAATAATGCGCTAGAGTGAATACTCAAATGCCATAATGCAACCTGTAAAGTTTAAGTGACTATCTCATATTAAAATTAAGCTCCCTTTTAGAGTGGTGTGCAAACAGTCGCAGGGTAGTGGAGTTGAAAATGAACTATCAAAAACTTTGTCGCAAAAAATAGTAGGTGGTTATTTTTCGGATGAAGTGTATGTTTATGTTCGTGGCCGTGGACGTGGTCGATATGTCTGTGACCGTTGTGGAATACGTTGTAAGAAGCCGTCAATGTTAAAAAAGCACATTAAGTAAGTTCTTGAGCTGTATTAACTTTTATTTATTTTACTACGATATTTCATTTATTTTCGTTCATTTTAATCTGTTTGCTATATGTGTATCATTTTTTATACATTACGAATTGTTAAATAGTGGAGAAAAGTATCAGTAATTGTTTATTTGCACAATTATATTTTAGACATGAATATTGGTATTCCTTTCAAAATGATCTGTTGATGCCATCGTTGAATAAGTAATTATATTTTTTTCATCCAATTATTAATCATAAGAAAGTTCCATTTAAATAAACAATTGTTGATATTTTTACTGCAGTGTTGTTATCTAATTTTTTTCTCATCGTGTATAATTTTATAGATCCCATTTGGATATACGACCGTATGGTTGTAAGCAGTGTAACTTTAATTTCAAAACAAAAGGGAATCTGACAAAGCATCTGCAATCCAAAACACATCACCGTCGAATAGCTGAAAAAGACAATCAAAAAATAATGGATCAAGATTCTGACAGTGATCATGACCGATTAGAAATAGCTAGTCTCAGTGGCACAGCTTCAACATTCAGCAATGATCCATTATCGGATGATGACTGGTTAATTACGAGTTTTTGAAATTTTCAGTTTTTATTATGAAGATTTATGACTTTATGAAAATTCAAAAGCTGGCCGAAAACTTTTAATTGTTTTCTTTCAGTTCTTCTGATGAGGAATTGCGACCACCTTGTGATGAAAGCAATACGGATATGTATAGAAAATTTGGCCAAGGTATTGATATTCTTTATTGTAGGGAGAATTTTTTAATGGTCATATTTTGTTAGTTCATAGTTTATATTTCTGTCTCCTTAGTGATTCATCAGATTTCTAACTTTTTTCATTCTTGCTAAAAACTTTCAATCAGTAATGCATTTAGCACAGTACGATTAGTATTTGTGAATCACTTTTGATTTAGTCCTTTGTCACTGATTTAATTTATTTCAATGTTGAAGAAAATACGTTAGTGAAACGAATGGCTCATACACCACCAACATTATGGATTGTGGGCGAGACACTTTCTGACTGGCCACATCCGAATCATTTAAGGTCATGTCATAGCGCACCACCTAGTGCGCAATATCCAGCGGAAAATCGAAAACAGCCAAATACATTAGACACGAATTTTTTGCTGAAAAAAGTAATTTTCATCTAAAATCAAATACTTTTTTTCTATAATACTTTTTTTTTCACACTAGTTGCAATTTAGTAATGTGGATCTACTTGTTTGTTGTAATTTTTTTCTTCTGAATATTCAGGACTCTATCGACGATCAAAAATTATCAATGTGTAATGCAGTAGTAGCGGAAACTATAGCACCTACCACAAGTGATTCTATATCAGTGTCGTCTTGCGTAGCAGTTCATCAACGTTCAGTTGGGGCATTTTTGGCCAAAGAGGTTCAAAAATTTCTAAGTAAATTGAGGTCATTTGTCAAATAGCTTGTTTATAAGTTATTTGTTACAAGTTATTGGATTGAATAAACTTTCATTACATATTACACATGAAATCTTCTTGAAAACATTAAATTAAATCATATTTTTCCTAATGCTGCATATTATATGCTTAGTTCTAGAATATTATAAATAATATAGTGGCACAATTATTGAATTCTTGAATTGAAGACGATCATATGTGATATCTGTAAACGCGCGTTTCGGAGCTGGACTGAAATGTCATTGCACCGTAAAATTCATTTGATTGGACCATCAAACTCACGTGTACGCTCCCACCAGTGTACGGAATGCAAACAAGCAACACGTACGCGCAGTGCTTTAAACAAACATATGGAAGAAAAACACGGAATAGTTGAAGTTTTATCTAGTGAGCAGCAATCTACTGTTTCTGATAACGGTTTGTTTTGTTAACTGATAGTGAATATTATTTTTCTGAAATTTTATGAGATGTTCACGTCAAGCAAAGCTCAGAATAAAACATGATGCTTAGTTTTATAGGCTATTTTTGGATATCGAGCGTAAAATAAGATAGTTATTGTACAATATGAGTATCCTCGTTATTAGAAAATTGTACTATTAAAAATGTAGAAACCTACATTTAGTGTATTTGTTCATTCATTTCAGAAGACACGAATGCAAATTTGTCATCAATGAATCCACGATCATTTATGTGCGCTGATTGTAACATCGGTTTTCGGAAGCATGGCATTCTCGCTAAACATCTTCGTTCCAAAACGCATATAATTAAGTTGGAAAGTTTACGTATTATTCCAGAGGATTCGCTTTCACTCATAACACGCAAAGAGGGAGGTGCATACTTGAATGAAATTGACACAACAGACTGTGATCGTGCAAGACAAAGTATACTCGGTAAGTTACTTCTTTTTTAAACTTAGAACTTTAACAAAAGAATCTCATTCAGTACAAAATATTGAGTTTTTTATGAACTTTATTTATTTGATTGCTTTTTTGGTAGCTATTTATTATTCTCTCACATTATATGTTTTAGAAGTTGTCTAAAAATTTTCATGATTCAAAAACTGCTAAATTATTTTTCATTAACTTGAAATTTTTGAAAAAGTCTTCATGATGCATTATTTCATTCAACATGGAGTTGAAGTTGAACTTAAAACAGATGATTTGAAATTAATTTATTTTTATCCACTAAATTTACATGAAAATACTGCAAATCGAATTGTTGTGTACTTCTGAAAATTGAAAGAAAGAGACATTTTAACCCAATCCCCTTTCTGTGAAAAATAATCTATAGTTTTCAGGGATTATATCTTCTTTACGAGATTCAAGTGCTTTGGAATGTCGTGAACAAATGGTACAATCGCCGGTACCACCTCAACATACTACTGTAAATAACAATTGTAGCGTTGCTAATAAGAACATTACTAGTAACTTTTCCATTCAGCGGTTAAAAAAGCAACGTTCTCCTGCTCTATCTCCTCAGTCATTTAATGAAAATAAACGATTACTTTGTGAGCAGCAGCCTCGGTCAAAACGGCATGATGTCACATCTGCAAAGGCATCGGTATATATCTCATATTTATGTAGTTATGAAAAGGGAGGGTGATAGAATAAGTAATGGTACTGAAAAGTCTAAAAATACAGGATACAGTGTTCTAGAAAGTATTCTAATACCTATTAAATTGCAGACAGAAATGTCATCTAGAAAATCTAATAATAATATCTCTCAACAGCGCAAAGCAGTAACTGATGATCTGAATGGGAAATCAATTTCTGCAAATATATGGATACCACCAAAGCTTGATACGAACTCGGCATGTTCATAAATAAATTTTGCTTTGTTTTTTAGCTTTACTTTCAGTCGTAAAGATATTCTGTTCAAAATATCATGCATGTTTTTCACAAAAAAAAGTGTGCCAATGAAAGCATTTCATTTTCACGTCACATATTCTTTGGTTAATTATTTAGTTGGGCACAATACCTTCAGTTGGCAAAATTTCCAGCTTATTTATTGTAACCAAAAAACAACTGATTGACTGAACTAATATCATCATACTACTTTAGTTCACTTAATCCTATATTCATTGTTTTCAGATGGCTGATCGTCGTTCAGTTGATATAGTTAGTCGTTTAGCAGTTGATCCAGCTAATCTCTCTGATAATGGTAAATTAACTGTTTTTGCATTTAAAAGTCTTTGTTTAACAGTATTGAGCAAAAATAGAGAATTTCATGGTTTTGTGCAAGCAGTATAACATTTAATCGTTCTTCATTGTGCAAAAATAATTTCGTTAATAAAAAATATATTTTATGAAATGTGTGTTATTTCATTCTATTATATTTGCATAGGTTCATCTGCACGATCTGATGAAGCGAACAGTGAAGGTGCAGGACGGAGTGAAAGCTCAACACCAACGCAACGCATTTTAGCTGGTACAGCTCCATCTCCGCTTTTACCCGTTTCAACGAGATGCAACTTATGTGAAATCAACTATGAATCAAGCTTTGAATTGCAGGTATTTATATAACTTATCATCATTTGTTAAGTCTCTAAGCTTCAGACATCGAAATGTTGGATTAATCACGTCATTTGGCTAGTATATTGCTTCTTTTTAATTAGATTAATTGGTCAGTCTTTCGAAGTTGTTACAATGTTTATTACAATAGTTTAAAATTTGAAACTTACAGACTTAATAACTGATAGTAATACAAGTTGTGCAGAGTTATTGATTCACACTTTTAACTTTTTAATGGAAGTTATCATAAGGTATTGATTAACCCTATATTATTTCATAAGGTATATTTGATTGTTTAATTTAAGGTGCATCTTCATGCTGATCATGTAGTTCTTCGTGATGGAAAAGACTTTTGTTGTCCTAAGAAACATTGTGATAAAGTCTATCCAACTCGCGACAGTCTCAGACAACATATTGCTGCTCATTATTTATTAAGTGGTGCTGTTACGCCTTTGCCTGGTTATAATTTATTATTTCACTATCGTAATAATAAGACCGATAAGCAACTACTGATTAATTATGAATAAATTGTGATAAAGTTTTTTTTTTTATATTAAAGTAGTTTTAATTTTCATAGAACAAGTTTTATTCATTTATGTAGAAGTAACTAGTTACTTTACAGTTAATTTGTTGCCTCATAAACTAAATAAAGGTTTTATGCATAAATTAGGGCTATTATTCTGTGTAATATACATATCGAACCTTTTTTTTCAGATAGTCGTGATGAAATTGAAGGTGCTATTACTGTGTTATCAGATGCAAGCACAGATGCTAATGCAGCTTTACATCGTAAATTAACCGGTTTAGCTCTTGGGCAACATGCAAATTCTGCACCAAATCACAGTCCAAATGCACCGGAAGAATCTCATACAACTCTTCCTAAAACAATCCCTCCTGCTTCTTCTACATTGATTATGTCAACGATTCCAAGTGATTCTGGTATTTTGAGCATATCAGCAAAGTATCCTTTTAAAAAAATATTTGAAAAGTTAAATCTTGGTGTACCAACTTGTCTTCATGAAAATTTTGTAGAGCCCATGCAGTTTTAGGATAGAAATCAGACATTTATTGTATTAACAAATGTTACCTGATATGTAATGCTTATTTCTGTGGGAGTTCTTGGAAGACAACAAAATTTAGTCACAAAAGCTCAAGCAAGAGTTTGAAAAATGTCTTTGTCATTTTTGAATGCAACACTATTTATATACGTATTTTATAGCAATGGTAATACAAAACAGCGTCCAGCAGTGAGAATAAATGAAGTTGAGAAATCTAATGGATGTAGTAGTATTATGGATGTGATTGTCAAGGTGAATTTATGTTTCAATTCTTTTTGCTTCATTTTATTGCTTAGCTGCATTTAAATTACTGGCATAAGCATTTCATGTATTCTGGTGAAAAAATAACTTCTTTCATAATTTTTATGTATGACAATTCCGTGTTTATCTAAATTGTCATCATTTGGTGTAATTTAAAAATCAGGATCAGAGACGATCAAAGACGACTCAGTTACCGGTGACATCCACTTCGTTACTTGGTAATGCCGTCGCTGCACCAGCAGCTTTACCATGTGCCATCTGTGGGCAATCATTTCCTGACGCATTTGTATTGCAACGACATTGGCTTTCACATGTTTGTGATCGACCATATATTTGCAAGCAGTGTGATGCAGGATTTACTACATCTGAAGCATTGAACACTCATACGTTGACACATCAGATCAATCGGACAGAACGATGACGTATTTGGTGTGGGAGAAATTTGATAGACATCTCGACTTGATGTGACGGCTCTGTAATTTGAACGTAATATTTTATTTTTTTTAATGGTAATTTTGTTCAAGCTGCATTATGTGAGGTCGTTGCTATTGCTTCAGCTATAACATCTTCTTTATCATTCCAATATTTAGCATTTTATATAATCATACTGTTGTTTTATCGAAACGTGTTTAAATATTTACCAGTTTCGTTGTTAGTTTGTATCGCAAACAGGGTCGATGGAAAGTGCTGACATTATTTTAATTTCTGCATCATATATTTTCTAATGTATGATAACCAGGAAGAGCACGTCAGGTAGCCAGCCTTTCAGACTCGAAATAACAGCAAATTATGCACTTCTTTGCATTTTAATTTTAAATCAATTCTCTTTATTATTTGATGAGTGTAAAAGTCAAAAATATAAATCAGTAAAATCTTGCGAAAAAAGAATGAAAAGTAATATCCAGATTGTTTCATGCTGCTTTTTTCCTAAAAAAATATAAATCAGTTTGACGCTTGAATTTCAGTTACGTATTTTACGGGATTATTATACATTTTTGGTGAACGCTATTAATTAATATTTATATCTCAATGCTCATTTTCCAAGTTACGCGTTTTTATTTACTGTTGTTTTTCCTTTCTACTTTCTTGCTTGTATGCGCATACTTTTTAGAATCTTAATTTGTTAAATTAAAATTTGAATAATCAAGAAAAAAAGTTTGTTTGATCTCTTGGTGCTTTTCATCCTTCTGATTTGGTTTATATTTTTTTGTCAAAAATTGCAGCAAGTTTAGTTTGCAAATTTTTAGGCTAATTTTAAAAATTAAATTGGATGCTTCTGATAGTTCAGAGAAATATAAGTCTTAATTTTCTATACAGTTGATTACACTATGAATTATCAAAATGATAGTTCTAAAGTCAATAGATATTGTGAGTAAAGAATTGGTTGCTATGAATAAAAAATTTTTTAGGGTTAAGATTGTTTCGTTATAAATTTGCATAGCAAAAATGTTAATTAATGTAAACTAAAATTATTTGTTTTATCATTAACTGTTGATTTTTACTATGATTTTTACTAAAATGGCGTTAAAAATTTTAGCAATTCATTTATTGCGTTTGTATAATAAAAAGATGTTGGGGTACATATATTTTTTGTTGAATAAATCGCTATGAGTGAATAACTGTTTCTTATAAAGACAATATAAGTATGCATGTAAAATATTCCGTATTTTCTATTAATTGTAGTATGAAATTGTATCCAGTCCGTGATATGCCATTGTTAGATATATTAATGGAAAATACGGAATTAGTATGATATCGATATCGTTAGAATGTTGTGCAGATTTCACTTGTGTAAGCCACATTTCAACATTTATCTCTTTTTGTATTATAGTGAAATATTGCTGAGCATTTTTATTAAGATGTAATTTATTAGAATTGGTATCCCGTTAGTTTTGAATATTTCATTATAGTTTTGTTATAAATAAATTGGAAGTGATACGAGCATTTTTGAATGATAATTTTTAAGTGATAACAACATGCTAAAACATTTGATGTGAGCTTTTAGTAATAATATTGATGATTATAAGTATGATATGTTTGGTCATGTATTATTACAAAGGTTAATCTATTAAGCTTTGGTAACAGTGTGGTAGCAGTAATAAAATGTTATGTAGCTCTTTTAATTTTTATTTTATACACATAAAGAATTTAGTGGAATGGGGTACGTGTCCGAAAGGATGTACTGCGAACATCATTCTTGTAATAGGAGCTTCTGTTCGATTTACGTGGAAACGATTGATTCTTAAGTTTAGCCAAACAAAGATGGATTTAAGTGAGTGGGGTGCTTGCATTGTTATAATTTTGATCGTTATGACTGTATTTTTGAATTCTTGACAATTACATTACGTCCAAGTAGGCTAGATTTCGACAAGAAAAAGCCTGTGGAAGCAATGCTTCTAAGGCAATTCAGATTTGAATCAGATAACAAATAGATATGATTGAATTTTCGAAAGCAGCTAGGATTTGTGACGAGCTGTAACAAATATGGTAGAAATTAAGGAGTCAAGTGTATACAAATGATTGTTCTGTAGACGTAGTGCATCCGCAAAATAAAATTTACGTACTAGGAAAATAACTATTTTTTTGTATAAGTAGCTTAATGTTTTCTTCAAAACGTCAAAGATGTAGTATATATTCATCCACAGTTTGTTGATTCTATATTTCTTACTTTTTGAACCGTAATGGAACAATATGATGAAAATTATAGTAATATAATTATAATGACGATAATGGAGAATCCGCTATCAAATGTTAATCACAATGTTAATGCTAGTAATAATAATAATAATAATAATAATAATAAGCAATTTAATAGCAATAATAATAACAAATGATAGTACTAATAAATAATAATGATTAAATTGAATCACATGCATCTTCATATAAATTTAAAGCACTGAAGAAGAATGAACTGATTAAAATTGTAAAAAAAGATGCGAAAATCTAAAAAGAAATAATTAAGCGGATTTCTTGAAGTAAAGCATTCTCAACTTGGCAAATATTACGTTTTTCATTTTGAAAATTGGTCAAAGTTCATAAGTAATAATAATTCCATTGAGTTAAATTTAAGTTATAATTATGAGAATTAATGAGAATAACAGTTATGTATTGCAATAAGCATTGCATGAAGCAAAATTTGTGAATAAATTAGTATTTTTTATTAAAGTAATGAACAAGGAGCCACGCAGATATATCCTTTAGATTTTATGAGAAAAATCGAAGTTTTTGAGTAAAATCAAGTTTTTATGCTTAGTCAGTCTAGAAGAATTTACTAGATATACTAAATAAAATCGTGAATGAAATATTTTGAAGCAAAATTATGAATTATTATTATTATTATGAAATTTTTGATTATTTTTTACTGAAGCCCACGTAAAAAATGACTTAAGTGCCTAATTTTAATAGCACTTATTCTGATAATACGACTAATAATTGATCAACGTTTTTGATTTATAACAAATTTCACGTAAAATTTTAATGGAATGATTATTATTTAATGAGCAAATGGTTACTTGTCTTAGATTTTTTTAATCAAAATACAAAAAAAAATAGATTTCAGTTTTCAATCGTTTTTCATGGTACATATTATATATATATATATATAATATTGTTTTATATTCAGAGCAGAAAAGCAATTCGCATTTGAGTCAGTGAAGAAAATGCTGATATTTAATAATATCAGCATTGTAATAAGAGAATCATTCAATAACATTAAAATTTATCACGCTTTTGACGTTGATAAACGTAAGCAAGCATCTGACTACTTTTATTCTACAGAATACATTTTTTTCGCTCGAAAAAGAATAACATTTGCATATAATTATTGCGGTAAGTGTATTGTATATAAATAATGCCGATTTTATGCTTGTGAGCACTCGTACTTTATCAAAAATGATTACTTTTTTGCTTATTTCAATACTGTGAATTTTCACTTATTGATTAGATAATATCAAAATGATATCTGAGTAATTATTATTAGAATATTTGCTTAGCAAAAATGAAAACTTTCAAGTTATTAAAAATAAATATATTATTATTTAAACAAAATAATAAATGCAATTGTTACAGCATTTCCAAATGAATAAGGCTTTTTTGGAAAATGACTGATGAAGAATATGTGCCTGGAACTTTATCGGGGCGGCCGATTTACTGGTGTCCAAGTGGCAATGGTCTAGTATTCATTTTTCATTTCAAATTTTACGTATTATAATACATAAAATACTGGAATAGTACTCAATAGTTGAAAATAAAATATCGAAACTGGATTGAAATAAGCTGAATATCTAGGTTATCCAGCATATTGTCCACGACCAACGGATAGTGATGAGTATACGTATTGCTGCGTGTATGGATACGGAATTGATATGCCAACGTGTTGCCGATTTCCATTTCATACTGGCCTTTTGTATACGATGATTTTTAGCTTAATTATTATTATTGCAGGTTAAATTGTTGCCAATAATTTTATAGACTAAATCTTTGCAGGATTTAATATTAATGTTAAAAATGGTTTTCAAAAAGTGAAGCTACTTTTTAAATTTTTGATTTAATTTGGCAAACAAACAGAATGAATTAATTTGCATCTGTCAATGATTTAGAAGAAATCTAGTGGCATATTCACATAAATTTAAATTATAATACCTTATTTGCATGACCTTTACAAGTATGTTAATGTAAAATTAATATGAATATTTAACAAGAAACCTTGAATTAAGATGAGAAAATTTCAATATTATCATTCACTGTAATCAAATATGAAACGTAATCTGTAATTTTTATCGATGAAATTTTCAGTTGTATTAATTTCTGATATACATCGATGACTAATATGAAAAATAAGCTGATCACCGATTTAAAAATGCAGAAACCATATTTTTTTTAAAATAACAATCATACTTTTTTATTTTTATGTACATATTACTTATTGCCATATTTTAAACAACAAATTTTATTACTGTAATTAAATTTTCAGTAATAATATTTCTGACATATTGGTGCTGGCCGTGGCGACCATTTATCTCCAAAACTTCGCCAATTCCACTCGAAAAAATAGAACATACTGAAAGTACGTTGCTATACTCTAAAAAATTTTATAGCAGTATTTTTGAGTAGAATTTTTCATGCTATCGAAAAGTCTACTTTAATTAATCAATTTAGAATACAAACAGATTACTCAATATTTTCAGAAGTTTGTTTTTTGTTTTTTGCTTTTTTAATCGAATAATTAATAAATCAGAATAGACAATATCTAATATGCATGTAATATCTGATCATAAGTATAAGTAAGCCAAAAATATTTTGATACTTTGATTACTTTATTATTGTAGTTAAGTACTTGAGTGAAATCAATTATTCACCTGTTTATCTGATATCAAAAAATCAATAAATATTAAGAGTCAATAATCCAAAAACATGTTCAATACTGCAAACCATAAAATAGCACAACAACGATAAATTAGATTACCAACTGGCTTCAACCATAATACATAATGAATATAAAACAATACAAGCCAGAATACTTCAACATATAAACATTTGGATATTGAGGTATGTAATACGACCGGATGCTCTCGGGAATCCATTGGAAATGCACCTGTATTATAAAATCTATCCAATAACTCATCCTAAAAAAATTAACAAATTTCGCTGGTACAAAGTTAGTTCAAAAAGTAAAATTATAAAGCTTTTAAGCATATTTTTTTATTAATATTTTCAAAAATTTACTTACCTTTTCTTCATAAATTTTATACAACCAATCTCGTAATGCTTCTTCATTTTTCCATTCAGCTTTTGTCTGATGGATCTATAAGAAAATTTATTTTGATAACTTTACTGCACATAATTACATCAAAATAATTACTTGAACTTTATATTTCAAATTTAAATTTTTAAAATTTTTGCCAATAAGACCAAATACCAAACAAAAGATACCGAATAGGCTAAATTAGGTTAAATAATAGATAACAAATAAAAAGAATAGAAGCAATTAGGGTAATGAAATAAATTGCAAGATTAGGATTGTAATATTTATTAGCAGACTTTGTTCTTTTAGAACTAATGACTTTTCGATAAAAAATATAGAAGAATCTAACAGTCCTACTTAAAATCTACTGACAATATGAAATATAATCTCTCTGCGCGATTACACTTCTCATTCACAAGAAAATAAATGAAAATAAATTTGAAATTCATTTCGAAGAGTAAAAAATTGAAGAACTATTCTAAATAAGTATACTAATAACCTCATTACTGACATATCACACACTATCATAGCGTACAACAGCTATTTTAAATAATTAATTTTGAACATTGAATAATTATTTTTCATTAGTAATTTAAGTTTCAAAAATTAAAAGAATTTTATCTTGAAAATTATACCCTATAATGTACAGCAACATTCGGTATACCATCAAGAAATTCACCAAACATCCAAGCAGCAATACTCGGCACTTTACCTTTTTGATAACCCAACGTGCAATCAACAATGTAATCGAGAGAAGCATCACAACCTACTCCATTATCTGAAAACCTTATTTTTTAGCACAAAATGGCAAATTTTTGAATCAAAAATAAAAGATTTCATTGATAATTACCAGAATAATTAGCAGAATCAGTTGTTACTTGCAGAGCTGCATGAGCAGCTCCTGAACGTGGAAGTGCACAATGACGGAAAACTTTGTAACCTTCACGAATCGCATACTGAGCATTACGTTTTTTGATCAGATATAATCTAGCGCCTGGAAAATATTTTGATTTATATAGTGTAAATTTTGCAATCATGTATTTAACCAGTAAATGTAATATACTTTATTCATCTCACTGAATTTATTATAAAAACTATTTTTAAACAAACTACTGACGAGAGATTACTTGGATGATATTTTATTAGACTATTTTCTTTTAATACAAACTTATCTCTAATAAATACTCTAAATGAATGCTCAAAGTTTAAATAACTTCAAAATTCTGTAGGAGAAATTGAGATTAAAAAGTTTTGCACGTAAATCAGTAAATTCGTCTATGTTAAAACTTGAGATCGACAAAATAAATTCGACAAAATTTTCTCCAAGAAAAGTAAAACTACCGATTTGAGCAATCTTGTAATTCAACGAGACAGTATTTTTGATGAAGTATTGGACTAAAACTCAAAATTTTAAGAATTGTAAAAGCAAATTATTGATTTGTCGCAGACTTTCCAAATAAGGAAAATTAATAAAGATGTTTGGCACCTTCGGGATACATAATTATCCATCGATGATCATATTTCCAATAATTTAATATTAAATGTTTTTTAAAATTTTCAATCATTTTTTCTCGTTTTGCTTTGTCATTTTTGACGAAAAAATTGCCATGAATAGCCCACATCACACCAAGCGGAGTCATTTTCCAAATATTGAATATTACCCAAAGGTACTGAAAAAAATATATCAGAAATTTGAAAACATTCCTATTAAATATAAAATTTAAGCCGTTGATAATATCATAACTATATTATTTATGACCAAAATAGCATATATGAAAAGTACCTTCTCAACAACAGTTCCTTTATCACGTAATGCTGACATTATCACGAAATGATCAGCAATACCCAAATGATTTGCTAGAAATAAGACACGATTTTCAGTAATCTAAAAATTCATTTTTGTTATAAAACTGGTAAATAATTATACTTAATTACAATTCCGAGAAATATACTTTTTAATCACTTATCAACTATAGAAACTGATCAGCCTTTTTTGAAAATCATCAAGTTTTTAAGATGAAATATTGAAGTTTCAGTCAAGAACATTGTACTTTTACTACCAAACAATGTACAGATCCACTAATCCTAACTTTTAAGTATTAATTTGAAGCAAAAAATTAATTATATGCAAGTGCTACAGATTTGAAAAGTTACATAGATAATAAATCTTAGCTAAATTAATATTTTAATATAGCAAGAAGTTTTGAAAATATTAGCTAGTTGAAAACTTTTAAAGAGTCAAATTGTAATTCAGATATGAGCGGATAAACTAGTCTTCATGAATTTCTTAACAAACTGATAATAAAAGAAATTAATCCATAAAAAACCAATTCCTGTGAATTTTATCAAACATTTCTATTAAATTTTAATCATTTATCTGTGATTAACCTTTGAAATATCGTCTCCATATTCAATAATTTTCGTGCCTGTGATTTGTAACGCCGAACTCCAATGATTGTTAACCATACGACACAATTTGTGATCAAGCCAATTAAACCAAGAATTGCTAAAGAAGCACTGATTTTTAGAACTTCAAAGATTGCAAAAATTTACAAACTGATTAAGTTTTCAATTTTAAACTGGAAATTTTTTAGTAATTTGACAATTAGATAAATAAAGTTAAGTATACATAAAAAAGTGAACCTAAAACATAAAACTGGTAGCATAACAATTAGAAAAGTAGCAGTGACTGTAATCGGAACTATAAATACAGTCATAAAAATCCAGTACAGTGCACCAATTATGGCTAAAATTCTGCGAATATCCACTGAACTGTTCATTACTTTTATAAAAAAGCTATCTTCTGCAGAAACCGTTGTTCCACTAAGATTGGTTCCATCTCTACTTGTTTCTATCATAGTTGATTCTCGTAATATATCTGTCTGCAATAATACTACGCATTTCAGACTTTTATTATGAATGAAGTAGTAAATTATTACTCTAATATCGCCTTACCAACGATTTGGTCTCATCTCAAAGTCTATACAGAGAATACAATGCGCAAAAATGTTATGAAAATGCTCTGCTATGCGCGAAAATGTTGCAATTTTGCGCGAAATAGTAGAGGAAGTAATAGTCAATAAGGTATCGCAAGAAATGATTACCGCAGTTACAGCTACAAAACAAAATAATCGCAATTAAAACGAATTTAAAAACCATAGAAGCAAATTTCACTGCTACCTGATTAGCTCCCCTTCTTATCACCTAAAAGTGATAGGAAATTATCATGGAATGGGTATAAACAGGCATGAACAAACTGCTGCATAGCAAGCTACAAAAACTGTGTTAAATAATTTACTTGAGTTAAAAGTAAAATTCTCGATAATATCAGTAACTGAAGAGATTTTTATCGAAACGAAAAACAATGTTTGAGTATGAATCTTTAAGCAACATAACAGTTTGTGATGAAGACTGAAATAAAAAATTTCAATCAAATATTATTTTTTTTAAAGCAACTGAATATAATATAACAACAGCCTTTATCACGATGGAAGTAATTAAATTGTTATCAGTGATAAAGCAGTACTTCTTATGTGTGATACAAGTAGAAAACAAATACAGAAGTAGTATTGTTACTCTTAGCTGATAAATTTACATTTATTGTTCCAAAACAATTATTATTCGATTAATAATTTAGAACAAATTTTCACGCAGAATTAACCGAAGAAATAAATACGACAATACAGTGTGCACAGAAAATTTTTTGCAGAGAAAAGGATTAATTTGACATGAAGAGAAATTGTTTTTGATTGAAATAAATTCATGGAAAAAAAATTTATTAAACAGTCAAAAGTTATGAATATAAGTCATTTAATTCGTAAGTTTAAACTGAAAATAGAAAACATGAAAATAATTCATAATTATTTACTGATTAATCGAAATATAAATAAAAATTATTTATTTACTAAATTATTGCTTTCGAATTAAAACGAGAAAATCTCCGATAGAGAAAATCTCCGATAGTTTTCGGTAATCACAAAATATAAACTGTTACTTTGATAAGTGATAGGTATAGCCCATCAACAGTAAATAAAAGAATTGCAAGCAGTTTTCCTTTTTTCATTATAGGTAAAAAAAGGCAATTCTTATCAAATAATCAAAAAAGTAATATTTTCGTTGATAAACAAAAATACGAGTCAGTTATCTGACTAAATTTTAATCAGAACTTTTTGATTGTAGAATATATTTAGTGAATATTTAGTGCTTTTTGATTATTTTCCATTAAATTAAGTTTTGTAAAATTAATTTGAATATATTGTCAAACAAACATAACGTTTGCAATTGTTCTTAAATATTTTATAGCTAAACAATTTACTAAAAGTTTGTAAAAATATAATAATTTCTACAATTTCTAAGTATTATTATTATTATTATTATTATTATTATTACTTTGTTAAAAAAAATACTCTTCAGATAAAAAATGCTATGCACGACACTTCAGCTATGAACATTTTAACGATAAAAATGAGCAAAAATCGAAATAATGCAATTTTTTTTATTGTTTTCTACACACTGGAAAATTTATTTTAGTTTTTCATTTTGTGATGCAACGAGACGAACAATAAAATGAACCATTACTAGTAGCTTTGTTACTAAAAACGTGAACTGATTGACTGACGCATTTTTACACTTAATATTTTAAATTTTCTTTCTAAAATAAAACTATTTTCAGGAAAAACTTTCAAGCGTCACATTTACAGATTGTTTACAAATCATTAGGAAAACTAGTGCACATCTGAATTATCAAAATGCAAATAATTAAAGAAAGACGTTTCATATTAGACGTAAAACTTCAATTTTTTTGTCTGATTCCTATTATTTAGCTGAGATTAGCTCAAACTTTATAGTAGTATATTAGATCAAAAATTTGAAAAAAAGATCAATAGTCAAGAATATTTTGATTCTGGAACATTTAAGATGTCAAAATTGGATTTTATACAATGTTCTACCTACCGTAAATTATCATATACTACTATGGGAATCATAACAAACTTATTCATCTTTTTTCTTCGTTAAGGAAAACGCAACTTTTGACGTTTCATACTTCAATTATAATTTACGAATAAGCTTTTTTCTCCAACTGCCCTATTTCTGACTCAAAAATTTTGAACATTCGATGGAAAATGGTTATTGTTTGTATAGAAGAAATCTCGATCTTTCATAGATGTCTTAATAACTGTGAGATTGTTTAATCTTCAGTTTGAAATTGGCCTTTTCACACATTTATATTGCAATGAACAATTACAAGAATAAAAATTTCTTGAATAAAATTAAAGTATTTTAGTAATAAGTAAGTAAATAAATAAATAAATAAATAAATATATAAATATATATATATATATA